TTCCTGGTTTAATTGAATAAAAATAAAACTAAATTATCTCCATAGATTAGGAGGAACATATTTTTTGTCTTTCAACCAAGAACTGTTTGTCTTTAAGAAAATGTGGAATTTAAAATTTCTGCAATTTCATTAGCTAAACAATATTTTTACATTTGTGTCATTTAAAACTAAACTGATCTATTACGACTGTATCATCTTCAACTGTGTTTTATACAGTAAAGTGATGACATAGCAGCTCGTCACAAAAAAAGGAGAGTAAAAATAAATCAAACATCACATCTGCGGGCGGTGACCTGGGTTAAGTCACGCTGTGATGTTCCATACGTGCATCCAGTCATCCAAGAAGCAGAAAGACGGAGCAATTTACTGCCGCCTCACTCTGTGGCACGCAGCAGAACTCGGCCATATGGCTGCTCGTCTCCTTATGTCTCTGCAGCTCCACACAGCAACAACAAAAAAATAAAAAAACCTGTGAGGAGTAAACAAACATCRCTCTGAAACACGCACATGAAAGCAGGCAGGGTGTAAATAAGTGGGGCGATGGTAGCCCAGAGGTGAAGGACAGGATGTGGCAGTGTGTGTGTGTGTAGTGGGTGTGTGGGTGGGGGAGACACACACACTGCAGAGGTGGAACTCAGCAGCAGAGTGAAGTTGATCTGCCTGTGAGGGAGCCGCTCAGTGGTTAACAGAGGCAGCTGCTGGCGTTAATGGAGGTAACCGTGTGCAAAACATCCAGATGTTGGAGTCAAGATGGAGGAAGTGAGACTTTTAACTTCCTGTCACCTTCACACTTTATATTTCACGCAAACGTTCACGACACAGACACAAAAACTCGGAAGAATTGAAATTTTTTATGAGGGGTCGTGTGGCGTAGTTATGAGCAGTCAGCGTCTTACCTGTTGAGATTGAGATGTAGATGCCAGAAGAAAAGATAAAGAGCAAAAATATGGATGCAGTTAGATGGGACATGGAGAACGGCGACTCGCTGTGGAGACCCCTGAAAAGGGAACAACCAGAAGAAAAAAAAATGTATTAAAACAAATTTAAAACATTATAAAAACATAACTGGGGAAGATAAAGGTTCAGATATTGGACTGGATTTCTTGCAGCGCTGCCTGTCACC